ACCTGGGGGGGGGGTACTTGTACCCCTTTAGTGTTATTTTCTGTTGAGACAACTGTAGTGAGTCGCAGAGTATCATGTACAGTATGTTTGACGTGAATAAGATTCAAATGTTTGTTACTGGCCATTACTCTTCCAACGTAATTGGGTGCTACTTCAGATCACATATACAGAGGAAATCAAAATTTTCAATACTTTTTCCCAAGCCCGTTGATACCGAAGTTGTTAAACATCTGTATCTCTGGAGAACATTGGTTGCACAGGGACGAGTGACAAACAAAGTTAAGAGACGCTGTACGTGCAGCGCATTATTCATGCTCTGGAAAAACAAAGATGCTGGCAGTAGAGCGAAGCTACGGACATACACGCTTGCATTCTGGATCTCACTCTCCGGCTTGGATACTGTAACACTTAACAAAGTTACAAACAGGAAACCGGAAGCGACGGAAATGAAAAGCTTAAAGTCAATAATACGAGCAAAGTGGTACAACCTTGTACCAAATATTGCAATAAGAGAGAGATTAGAATATTCAACTAAAGTGACCGATTGGTTACCGAGGAATGGCTGATGGCCGCCATAAGGAACGAGTACTCAGAGTAAAGCCTGATGGCAGGTGGCCCTCAGGAAGACGAGTAGCAAGATGGGAAGATCCCATTAGAACTGACATAACGTCGAAAAGTGAGAAGTGAAATGTTAGGATGTATTTAATCGATCCAGGAAAATGCTGGTACCCGGCGTCATCTTTGGCGTACTCTCCGTTTCCACGACGTACGGAGAAACTGTAGTCTTTGCTCTTGTTCTGTTTCTGAAGAACGAGATTAAATTTAATGCTGTATTTGAATCCAGTGGAGAAAATATAAGAAAATACTAATAATATAACGATACACGATTGAGACGGCAAAAACCAACAGTGTAAAGAAAGAAATTCGTTTTTTACTTTACACCGTTATTCCGGTGAGGTAAGACAGATGAAAATCTTACACTTGGAAGTACCACCATCTTGCACCGCTCTTGCTTCTAGTTGCTTAGGAGGTCAACTTAAATACGAGAAAAGTTCCAAACATGTGTTTAAATGCGATGATCGCAATTTGGCATTTCAAGTATAATATTTGAACGAACGATTGACTGAAGAGATTCTCGTGCACCATGCGCCTACCATCCGAATCTAGAGCACGACATCAGTTTATAGACTCACAAAGTATACTGTCATAGTACTTGATGCATAATTTTGGCAATTAACAACAAACAAACGTTTTCTGGTGAAAATTTAGGAATTGAGTAAAATTTTGAAGCAAATTATTTCCGCTTTAGAAAAACATTGAGGAACGTTTATCGATTCATTATAATGAACGTGACCTTAGCCTAAATGAAATTCATATATAAATTATGACGGCAAGAATTTGCCTTGAAAAATTAGCTGCTCTGTACCACCACTGGCCCAAAACATGCCGATCCACATTTATTCAACGTTTGATTACATTAAAAACATTACAAGAAACGGCTGTTTAATTCGCATTGAAGATAATTGGCTTTTCATAGTTATGAACCTCTTACTGACGAATGGGATGTCGATAATCTATGTGCCTTAGCCCCAAGATGTATAACATCAAATTATTTTCATTTATGTCTTAGATTCGCTTTGGTTATGCTCAAAAATACCTGATCATCATCCAACATGGTCAAGAGGGTTATCCACACCCTACAAATGGCCCAGCTGAGCCTTAAATTTGCATTCTCTTTACTTTACCGTCACTACTGAAACTCGATTTTGGACTTCTCGTCTATTGGCGTGAATTTATGAAATTCCTTTATCCATATTTTATTTCAAAATTTATTTTGCGTTGATAGCATTCTTTTTTCCAGATAATCAGAAGAGTAAGTGATATCGTATTTAAAGCGCTTTTCAAGTAG